GGATCTAATGTATTTAAATTGTTACTGCATAGTCCTTGTAAGATAGCCTTGCACCTATTTTGTCTCATACGAGTTTGGATGCAGTTATCTTTTGGGATTGGCTTCTTTGTGTGTGTGGCAAGATCTGCTACCAATGCCCATAATATTCCCCGTCATCAGGCGTCTCGGGGAGCTGTGGGACAGTGTGAGGGATAGATACACATTCTGCACATGATATGCTACTTTCAATCTCCATGTAATACTTCTGGGACAGTGTGAGGGATAGATACACATTCTGCACATGATATCAATCTCCATGTAATACTTCGACACTAATCTATAGGACCAAATTGGTCAATTTATTACTGTGGCAAAACTCTCATTAGCTTCAGCGTTGCGTGAACTATAGCTTCAGGATTTGTTCCACAGAGCGCAAGGAGAGCTACTGTGCCATTGAAAGCTCTTTGGAGAGAACACTGTGTCCATGGGGTAATGCTTGTGCAAGAAAACTGTACTGTGGCTGCATGTTCCCTGATACAATTAAGCAATCAAATCATATAATCTCTAGTTCTGTTGATTGCTTTACTGCCAGTAAAAGGCCACTTATATAACCTACCTGCACTGAAAACCACTTCCCTTTTGTGTGAGAGAGGAGACTGATGGCAGCCTGAGAATTTCCATATGTGGTTTTGGAGGAAGTACTGCAGCTAGGGCTCACCTTAATTAATACCCAAAGGCAGCTTTGCTTCTGCCCTCATGCTGATGTTTATAAAAAGTAATGAGTTTGGCTTCTTTACATTAGGCATTCAGGGCTTCTTCACGCTAAAGTTTTTCTTTAAGGAGGAGTTACCTCAGAGTTGAAAAATATTTTAGAAAACTAACCACCGCTAAAAGCAACCCTGTCTGTCAGTCAGGATTGGGAAAGATGATTCCACCAGGTCAAGAAACTTTGGGGCAACTACAGAAAGGAAATTAGTCAAACTTTGGCATGACTGGGGACGACTGAGGTGAGGGTGAGGAAGGTTAAAACTGCAAGGAAGGGAGAAAGAGGCCATGGAAATGGAGAATACAGGGCTTTGTGGAGGAAGATCCTCTCCTGTTCCCTTGGGAATATCCAAGCTTCACCATTTTTTTTGGGGGGGGGGGCTCTAATGCTCACTACTTGGGAATATCCAAGCTTCACCATTTTGGGGGGAGGGGGGGGTGGGGCTCTAATGCTCACTTTAATTGCTGTCATGCCCAAATGCTAGCTTAGGCTGGCCATGTGGACAGTTATCACATTCTGGCTGAATGACTGACCCTCTGGGTGTGCACCATGAGGCAAGCAGAGGGTTATGTAGTTCCACCCCATCTCCTCTTTTGTTCTGAGATGCAGGGACCAGGCACTATTCCACTTCTGAACTCCAGGAACTGAGATCTCTTGTGCTCGGAGACTCTGTGCTGGCTAACGCAGCTGGCCAAGAAGAGGTAGGAAGTATCCTTTTGGAAAGTGAAGTAGCTGCTAGGTTAGCGTTCCAGGGCTGCTCTAGAGGCAGAGGTCTGCTGCATGTGACTTAACACTGGACATAGAAATAGCAGCTGATTGTGTGCTAGTTGATCAACAGGTGAGATATGATTTTGTTTTTCCTTCATGGTCAGGCTAACAAAAAGAGAGATGCATTTCAAATTAACATTTCCCTTCACTATCTAAAAGCAGCCATTGAATGAAGAAAGTCTTCCCTGCCAACAGCATTTGCTGATGCTGGTTGCTATGAAAACACACACTCAGAAAACTAGCCTGGGCGATAAAAGATCTGAAGCTTCCTCGAGGCCCAGCAAGAGCTATAGTGAAAGAGAAAACACACCCTTCCTCTTACACACACATGAAAGGGAGAGCTAATGGAAATGTTCAAGCATGTCTATCATGAGAAACCATACAGTGTGCTCCGAGGGAAAGCAAAAAGCAAAATCAGACAGGAGACTACTTAGAGTTTTTCACAGGATTGTGCAAGAATTAAACAGAAAATGAATGTGTCCTTTGCTCCCCAATGTGGCAGTGGCTGGAAACACATGCTTCTGGTAGCAGAGAGGTGGAGAAAGGGAGAGAAGGAAGGAATAATACGGACCTTGCTCACTGAAATGTACTACTTCTGTTCCATCCAAGAAATGGAGTTTTTATGGCCTCTGCCTCTAGCACTTATCTACTAACATTGGTTAGCCTTCCATAGGGTCCTTTGAGTTGTGGAATTCAGAGAAAAATAAGGGGTTCCTGGGAAGATTCCTTCCCCACTCTCAAAATGGAAAATAAAATGATGCTCTGATGTCACAATGTTGCGTATGGATTTGCTGAAATTGGGTCATACAAGGAGAGCGGACTACTCTTGTGATATACAGAGAGGAGGGTTAGAGAGAGGCTGTGTGTTTGGGGATTGAACATCTAAGCTTTGTTAGCCATCATAGCTAAATGAATGTGTTGGCTGGGTGCTCTCTTTCCCATAACCACTCAGGTTATGGGCAGAGTTTCACACACTTCTGTTCTCGCGTATCTTATTTTATAAGCATTTGACATTGTCTGCAGCAATGCTGCTGGCACTTTACGCGCAGTCTGGATCATAGGTAGCAAGGCTGCCTGAGGATGACATTGCTGTTGGGAAAAGGGTCAGTTTTCCCAGTGTCCCTTATTGGAGAGGGTTCCCAGACAAGCGTTGGGACCTGGCATCTGGGGATCACAGTGCCAGTCAGGTCTGGCCTGTCCAGAGAGGTGGGCCAGCCAAATGTGAGTGTTACTGTGATCCCCGGAATTCTGGGGGTGCCCATCATTTACCTACTTCTTTTGTAGACTGAGTAAACAATTCCAGAGATACTATCACAGGAACAAACGGGAACTTGATGTAATTGAGAAGGTGAATACGTTATATGCCTGCCAGCCAACATGGATCTGGTGGTCATGAAGCACAGAGTTTGTGCCTTGCTTATTATTTAAATGCTGACCGAAGGATTTGGTGTCTCCTCTTGCATGGAAGCAATCCCATGATTTCAGCTCATGTCTGCTCTTACCCAGTATCGGAACAAGTTTTCAGCTCCATCTGCAGAAGAATCCTCGTGCTTCCTCATGATCAAGAACAGGATCAACACAATCCTGTTCTTGGTAATCAGAGATGCCTCTTTAAATCCCATAAAGGGGCATTTGTCAGTCCTCTAATCTGGCCTGTTATCAGCGCTCCTTTCCCTGGCAGTATCAAAAGATGCAGTTCATAAAGACCGCATGTCTTTCTAAGGGTATGTCTACACTGTGAGCTAGGGGTATAATTCTCAACTTGTGTGACACATACTCATACCAGGCATCCTGAGTACAAGCCTTCATGAACCTCATGTATGAGACACTTGCTGCCCTGACCCAGTGCTATTTTGAGTGCACTAGCTTGAGCAAAGCTGGGACAAGTATGTTTAACGTATGCTGGGACTCACACCCCAGCTGCATCTGTAAAGGCAGCCTAAAGTGATCCTCTGAATCTACCAGGAGTTATGGGCTTGATGGAGAAAATTCTATGGCCTATCTTGTGCAGGAGTTGAGACTAGATAATTGTGATGGTCCCTTATGGGTCTAAGATCGTTGAACAGAAGATTCAACTTTTGGAATATCACTTCACTGGCTGCCTCTTCTCTTTCACATCAGACTACCTGTGATAAAACTCAGTGGTCTTCACACCCTAATGCCACCCTCCCCATTATTTCTTGGTGACTATGAAAGTCAACTCCTGCATCTGATCAGTCTCCATTGCCCAATTTTTAAATTTTCCAACCAGCCTCTTTGTGCTCTCCCATTCTGCCCCTCATGCCTGGCCAAAGCTTAGCACCTCCCTCCAGAAACAAACTAAACAGCCTCCTTAAAACTCTCCTTGACAACGAGGCCTACACAACTGCTTCTCTGTTATCCCAGAGAGAAGCTACTTGAGACTCAAATATAGTAAAGTCTTGTAGGCCTCACAAGCAAAGAACCAAAAATAAAATAATAATAATAAAAAAGACAAACGTACCTTCTGGCAGGGATTCTGCACCAATGCGTATAGTGGAGGAGCTGAGAGCTATTAAACCAAACTAAACCTTTTATATGATGGAAACCACTTCAAGAAGAGATTAATAATATATACCTCTTACATTTTTAACAGATTTTATGAGCCCGTCAGTTACTTCAGAAGTAGGGGGTATATAAGTGTTTTAGATATAATCAATGGGACTTTCATGCATCGATACCAAAACACTTTACAGAGGAGGGTTCGTATCATTTCTTCCATTTTACAGATGGGGAAATTGAGGTCTACTGAGGCAGTGTAACTTGTTGAAGGCCATGCATCAGGCCAGAGGCAGAGCTGTGAGTGTATCCAGACCAGGCCCAGCCAAAGGGATTATGGGGCCCAAGGCAGGGTACTGGGAGTAGGGTCCCAGGCCCGGCCGGTAGATGGTAAATACTCAGCAGTGCAGGGCCCAGAAAGCGCGGGGCCCAAGGCATTTGCCTTGCTCGCCTTGCCATAGGCTGGGCCTGTCCCCGACCTCCTGATCCCAAGCCCTGTGCCCTATCTACTGGACAATACTTCTTTGCATAATGTATGTACAGTCGTGGTGGTATCAAGGCCACATACTTCTCCCTTGAGAGCCACCACAGAGATGTACTTTTTGAAATCTTCTCAGGTTTTACAGTGATCCCAGCGGATGTTGAAATATCACTTTGGGGATTCAGTTCTCTGCAGATGGTACAGGCAGTCCATGATTTCATAGGGTAGCCAAATTTTCAGGGTGCTGAGCTCCCATAGCTGTCCTCCCTCCTCTGAGAATATGGCAGGTTCTCTGCACCTCTGAAGGTCAGAGCATTCACTGGAGTCACTTGTTATATGGCGCTCCTACTAACGTGGAATACAACAGTGTCCTCTCTACAATGAATCAATCTTTTATCTGCCTCCTTCTGGGAGGACCCCCCTGCTCACATTTTTCCTCTTTCACACAGAAAGCACGAGAAACATTGTACCATGTCGTTCTTTTTGCAGGAGAGAGGCCTTTTGAATGCAGCTGGCAAGAATGCAACAAGAAGTTTGCCCGCTCTGATGAGCTGGCTCGGCACTACCGTACTCACACTGGAGAGAAGAAGTTTGGCTGCCCGCTCTGTGAGAAGCGCTTCATGCGCAGCGATCATCTGACGAAGCATGCCCGTCGCCATGCCAACTTCCACCCCAGTATGCTCAAGAGGCGGAGTGGCAGCAACTCCAGAACAGGGTCTGTCAGTGACTATAGCCGTTCGGACGCATCGAGCCCTACCATCAGCCCTGCCAGCTCCCCGTAAACCTACCTGCACTAGATGTCAGCACTTTGCCTCTGACACTTCTTGTGGAGTTGAATTTGTGTTGCACACGGTTTTAAAACTGTCGCTTGTTTTGTTATGGTTTTTTTTAATCAGTAAGTAGCTGCCTCTCAGTACAACTTCAAAACAAAAACTTCACCTCGTCAAACAGGTGGCTGGTCTAACCTCATGGACAGATGGATCTTAATATCTCACTTAGTGACTCCTGCTGCCTCAATATTTCAACATTTCATGTTTTACAGCTATACGCAGATACTCTTGTTTTTATACATATATATATTATATAACCTAGAAAACCTTAAAACCCCATCCGTAATTCACCTCAGGTTTTCCAAGCAGTTCTGAGAGATCGGATTGCACAACACAAGCAAACCTACAGTTTTACAATTCACTTGTGTTGAACTTTATATTCCCCCTCTTCTTTCTCAGGGATGCTATTTATATTACACAATAAATACAATGAAGACATACCTTTACCACAATCTTACTTGGTAAATATATTTGCACTCGGAAGCATTTTGTTAAGATTTTTTTTCTCACACACTGGGGGAAAACACAAACAAACTAGTACTGGAAGTTAGTGCCGGGCCCTTTTCTTGCTTTATTTCAATGACATACTACCTTTTGAGGCTGCCCTCTTTTTCATCCAGCTGCCCTTTGCTACAGAAAGCAAACAATCCTTTTATTTGTCACTGCAGATGCTCCAAAAACCAGCTTCCTGTGGCAAAAATCTTCCTGTCCAAGTTGGATACATTTTTCTGTGAAAAGATTTCTTAACGAGATGCCTTAATCAAATAATCTAAACACAAGGAAACACATTTACACTGGGTAACAGCATTACTAGCAAGGGGGTATGGAATTTTGGAGGCATTTTGTCGTCTCTCTCCCTAAGTTATAAGCTCTCCCTTCACTGTCTATAGAATATGGGACCAACAAAATGTTAAAGCAAGCCACATTGACTTGAACAACTTTCTTTCCCCTTTTTATTCTTTTTAAAGAACTGAGAAAATATTGTAACTGAACCAGTGCCCAGCAAGGTACTTACCTACTGTACCTCTGAATATTAAGATAAAGAAATTGCTTAAGACAAGGTTTCTATTCATTGTTGCATCATAGCTAGTCATGGATAAAAGGAGACATGTTTTTTTTAAAGTGTTACAAAAATGGTGCTTTAGTTCAAAAATATTTCATGCTTTTCTTTCACCCATAGAGCAGCATTTTATAAAGCACTGTTCCCTACATGTATGAGACATTGCATATTAAAAAGGGGAGTTTGATTTTTTTATTCATTTTTAATACTAGGCTACTTTATCAGGTATTTCTGTGCTTTACAAATGGTATATCATATAGCAAAGGACCAGAGTACTGTGATGTCACAGAAACCTCATTGTCAGAAAATATACTTTGTTTGGATTGGTTGGTTCAGATGGTGCATATTAAAAAAATCAGGTGCTTTTGGTTTTGGATTTTTTCACATTACTGTAAAGAATACATGCAGTCAAGTGTAGCACAGTAAAAAGACACTCAATATACCACATCTGCTGTTTGATATAAAGTGAATGCCTCCACATTCCAAAGGAGTCTTGATCCATATCTTACTTGCTGCTTTGCATTCATCCAATTTTACTAGTTGTTAAAAAAATTGTACTGTATATCAACTGTGAGAGGTTATTACATTATAGATTTGTAAGTAATTTCATAGGTACTTGCATACCATTTACATTGTTGATAATACCAAATGCTCTTTCAGTTGCATGATTGATAACTACTTAAACATAGGTTAAAGTGCAGATAGTTCAGTATTTTTCTGTATATTTGTTTCAAACTTCACCTTTATAAAAACTTTTTTTTATCGAATTGTAAAACCACACAAGGCTGGGCATTCTGTTGAAAATGATGGATGGAAAAAGCCTTTAGATAGAAGTCTGTTTATTTTTTAACTTTTTTAACTTTTAACACTGTCAGTTTAGGGAAAGCCATGTTCATTTACTTCCCTAGTTACAACTGTTGTCATCTGTACTGATAAAATACACAATGTTGATGTTTTGATTCAGTTCAGGTATCAGGAATTCACTTAATAGTTTTTGCAGCTCATGAAAGTGCTTTTGTGCTGTAGTTAGTAAAGGGGCAATAAAGGAAACCACCTGATAATTGTATAGGGCAGTTATGCCTAGGACACACACTTTTAAAACAGTTCCTTGGGTATAAAAATTACTTCTCTCATCATGAATAAATCTAACTATAGGGATAGTGATACAGAAAATAAAACCGAAGGGGAAAGGGTGATTACAAAGTATTCTTCAAAAAACATGATGGCTTTTATGTTATGGTTTCAATTGGGTGGGTATGCTTTATTATCTCCAAAGAGAACATGATTTTCTTTTTAGTTTTGTTGCATATGCAGAATGCAATTCCACTGCACTATTTAGTACGTAGTGACACCGATTTAAAATAAATGCAAGCTGACAGGGTATAACTTTTCAGTATGAATTAATGTAATTCAGATAGAGATGTGGATTAGTTTATAAATCAAATGCTTAGACAGTCTCTGTCTGTCTATAGTAAAAGTTTGTTCCTATTGCTTTAGTAGCAATGGAAGAGGATAGTAAAAATGTTCAGAATAAATTTTTCAAACAAACAAACTGTATCTTTTAACTCCATGTTCCCAAAAGGATTTAGATTCATTCTGTAAAGTTATATAGAAGCAAAAATATGGAATGCAAGCTGTTCTCAATGAAATTCCAACTCAACAAAGTCCTCTCATGAGAAAAAAGCCATGAGACCAATTTTTATTCTTAATTTTGGGGAAGTATAAAGAAAATAAAACCTGCATCAAACCTTCAAAACTTTTGAATGTCTTCCACCTCAGAGATAACATTTTGTCATGAATATTCAGATGTCATATGTTAAGAAGTAGCTATGGTTTCAAAACCTACATAAATGCTTTTTACTAATGCCAGTTTAACAGCGACTCACACTAGTGCTTCTGTTATTGGATCAGCAAACCGATTCAGAGATATAGTGAAGAATCCCTTCCCCACAATCGAGTCCATTGCTTGTTTTATAACTGAATCTGAACAGCAGCACCTTTCTCTGGATTCTCTTGGCTAACGAGACGGTCTGAGTTTTTCTAGCGATTTTCCAGAAGCAGAAGTGGCATCAGTATCATAAGACTCCATTCTCATGCCTCAATTTTTGCAGATTCAAGTATTCTAGACTGTTCAGATAAAGCATTTGAAATGGTGATGCTTTTCCAAACTATCCAACATGCTGACTTAAAAACTGTCTCTCATTATTACACCCAATACTGCACATTCAAGCGAAAAATTCTGCCCACTCTTCCGAGTCAAATGCATATATCTTTTCTTCCAAGCACAGAGACCCAGGCACTCAGCTGATATGGCTGGTCCTGAACAATGAAATTGCCTTGAGATTTTAATGTTTTGATTTTACTCAAGAATAAATTCATTAATACAGGTTGAACCTCTAGTCTGGCACTCTCTGGTTCGGAAACAGCCATAGTCTGGACTGATTTTAGTTTGCCGATTGTCCACTTAGCATGGGTGTAGCCAAATTTCCCATGAACTTTATTTACAGCCACAGTCCTGGCTCTCAGTGCTCTGTGGTGTTAATTAGCTCTAATTTACCCTTAATTGTCCTCTAACATCTCAGTAAGCAATGGAAGTGTTGGGAATGCTGCTAGACAATAATGACCTGCAAATGGTCCAGCAAATTGTCTGGTTCAGCACCAATTAGGTTCACAGGGTGCCAGATTAGAGAGATTCTACCTCCAGCAGCAAGCAACAAAACCTTTAGGATTTATTTATAGTTGTCCACAGTCCAGGTCCTAGCTCCTTTTGCACTTGTTAAACTGAAGTGCCGGCATGTATACTGAAAACAATCATTTAGTTTTTCTTGGAAATTCTAAAGGTTGCCGTTCTCCTTTAAACACGCATTAAACTAAACTTAAGTCTGAGTTATATTTAACTGTAAATTACACACAGTTTGATATAAACTCTGCTTTAGATTTGATCAACATTAAGAAGTTAATTTTGTTGTCCATCTGGAACTTGCATGATTTGAGGACAGTAATGTGCTCCCTTCATTTATTTCTACTCAGATACTTTTACATATACAAATTATTCTAGTCAACAGAAAATTGCAATAGGATCCATTGGACATAGTTTAACTTCCTTTTGTCCAAAACCCAAAGTGCTTTAATGGTCATAAAACTTCAGTGTCCTGTTCTGCTTCCTAGAAAGGAATCCAGTATGTGACACACTAAGTAGCTGTGCTGTGTCGTATGAGGTGCCCCCATCCTTAAAGTCTGCAAACTAGTTCACTCCTAGTTTTTAGAGCATTTATTTGTTTACATTGTGTAATGGTAAAGGTATATATTTATAACAACAAAAGCCTATGTTTGATAGGAACACCTAATTTCTGTATGAAATGACATGTTTTCTATATGTACCCTACCTTCTTTACCATGTTATTACTTGCAATAAATTCTAGCCCTGCAACCTTCTGTACTGCTTTAAAACCTTGTATTGAGAAGGTCAGTGCTCAATGTTTTTATATGTTTTATACAGCCTGTATAAAATCAGGTGTTGGAAACGGCCATGTGAGTAGCTCACCAAGTCCTCATTTAATTTCATCCCTGGCTTTCTTTGTACAGTCAGAGTATCTGATGTGAGTTTTGTACTGTGCGAATTGTGTTATGTTTCTGGGAACATGGTTTATGAACAAAGAATAAGGAAAATAGACTCTTTGTATTTAAAGCTTGCCTTCTCATAGTAACTTGCTTTGCTAATTTCAACTAGTGATGCCCACAAACGGACTTCCTGGTGCTCTGTTACTCCTGTATTGCCTCATGTTTGTATATATAGATGCTCATGTGTAGAATGACAATGAGCAGTATAATGTCTTTCTATATTTTTTAAGCATTGGGGATGGCTATATAACCAACAGGTGGAAGAGTCCATGACTGAGTAGTGTTTACCTCCCAAAAAGAAAAAATATAGAGTGCAAGAAACCATAGTCGAGGGAATGCCAACAGAGCAATGCTAGGCATCCATTTTGTTACAACTAGTGATGAGTCTGACCCCAAATCCTTCAGACTTCAGGGGAGTTTGAATCTCCACCTCAACCTTTGGGGCTTACTCCCATCTTTAGTTACAAGTACAATTAGTTGTGTATGTACATTGTGTGCGTGTGTGTATCGCGTGTGTAAGCTTCTATGCGCACACACATTTATAGACCTATTTTTCACTTTTGGTGAAATTTGATGTTATAAACATCATTTTTACCTGGACAGTTTTATCAACAGCATTTCAGTGCTTTCCTGGGTCACTTTTTACCTTTCTAAATCACTACATTGAAGTATTACAGTTGTACAGTTATAGGCTGATCTATTCTTGCTCTGCTGTAACTTTTTATGTATTTTGTACTGCATAGAATATATATTGTAACAATGTCCTAAGCAAAAATAAAATAAAAGAAATAAAATAAAAAACACAGTTGTAAAATACCATCTTAACTTGTATGCATGGTTAATGACATTTACATTTTAAATAAAATTTATAATTAAATTTGTTTTGTTATGTCTGTCATTTTATTTCCTGGAGCATTAGAGTAAAGGTATAAATACAGCTGCTAGGAATTTTTTCTCCCAACCTGAAATATTTTTTGTCCAGCTGAGAAGTAATTAAGGGAAAGTTTATGTATCTAAACAATGGCACCAACAAAAACACCTTAGTGGAAGCAGAAATTTGATATATAAGCTCGTTTTGCCTTTAACTGGAATTTTATGATTGCAGAGTCAAATCCTGAAGTCTTTACTGAAGATTTACATTCCCAATAATCCCATTGGCTTTCTTTTTGTTCACTTTTGACCTGCGCCTGCCGTCACCAGGTGTGGATGCATGTGAGGGAGGAGCAGCAGAGCAAGAGCAGCTGGCTTCAGCGGTGTTACTGAGCATTTTTGGTCCATAAAGTATAAACGGCTGGCTAGCAATAGCCTCGATGAGAATAATTAAAATTCAAATTTTAAGGCCCGATCTATTCAAGAGCACTTCAATTCCCTGCTTACCACCATCCTTTCTATGACCTGCCCTCGGGGGGAAGAAAAGCTTTCCCAAGTCCAGCAGAGCTCTTGTAAATCAAATAACCAAGTACACATGGCCCATTGCCTTGAAAATCCTTCTACAATGCAGAAACCTTGAAATACATATTTTAAAAATATAGTTTCAGAAATGCACCATCACCGATTATAAACAGAAACGTGCATGCTAATTCTGAGGAAATATAATGATTGTAAAATGTGCTGCATGTGCAGCGTTAGACAGTCAAGTGCATCCATTTCCACCTTATCTAACTATCTAGTTTAGAGTGTGTCTGTGTGTCTTTGTCTGCCAGTCCATTTGTTTAAGACCTTCTTCTAAATGGTAAGAGCTAGGACCACCAAATTTGGTCTGTAGCTTCCTCTTCTCCTTACAACTTAAAGCAAGCTCAGGGTTTGGTTGTGCCAAGACAACAGGAAGCCCCAGGAAAAGGGCTGTTGTCCATAACAGGCGAAGGGAGGGGTTGCTGTTCGGAGGGACATGATTTGACAGTGGCCACTGGGGGAAGCGAGCCCATAGAGGAGAGCTATCCTGCAGTGTCTCCACTGGGGGCAGCTGTACCAACAAGGGAGCGGCCAGCTCCACCATCTTGACTGCCAGCACACCAAGTAAGTAGCCTCCCTACCCTAAACACTTTGCCCCCTCCTGACCCTTCAGCACAGCGCAGGGAGGAGGGGGAGGCCTCTGGCAGGGGGGCAGGGTATGGGGAGAGAAAAATAATTCTAGCAGACGGGGGATTGGGAGAAGGGGAGAAAAAATACCTGTGATGGCCGGAGGTGGGGCGGAGGAGATCTGGAGGGAGAGAAAAGACCTGTACTGGATCCCCGCTGCCCTTCAGCTCCTCCTCACTCTTGCGCACGCTCCCACACTGCCAGCCCCCTGCCGTGGCTGGGCAACTCTGGGTAAGTCCACTGTTTGAATAACACGGGAGTAGATGAGTAGCTTTTCTTCAGACTTGCAAGTGGGATGAAATAAAAGCCCAAATTCCCTAGCATCATTTCTTGGGAAAGCGATAAGCTCCTGAAAATACGAGTTTAAGTGCTTTCTCATCCATAAATACTAAGTTGCTATCTCAATGCTATAATGGTAAATATCTACACACCCAGACACCCACACATTTAAATGTGTATGTTAACACATTCTAATCTACTGAAGAAATTTCTGTTGGCAGGTGGATAAATGGTATCTGCCATGCCTGTGATTCAACACTTGGCCATTAAATGTTTATAACCTTGGCAGATGTAGCTGGATCTACAGTGGGATTTTTCTAAGGTTACCTGCAATTGCATCTCTAAGCCCTGGTCTACACTAGGTAGTTATTTTGAAATAACCCTCCTTTGGTCGAATTTATAAGTGGCACATCCACACTACCAAGCTAGTTATTTCGAAATAACGGGCTGGTTATTTCAAAATCTGTATGCCTGCTTTCCTCAGGGAATAACACTAATTTCAAAATAGCATTAGTGTAGATGCTCCAGTGTCCGGGTGTGGCCTTCATAAGCTGGTATTTTCAAATACCAGATCATGGTATGTTTGCTAACAGGTGTAGAGCACAACTGAAGGAAGCTCAGCTTTGCCATATTCCAGTTAAACAGGGGAGACAGATGTGCCTGCCCACAGTGAGTCTGCATGTACAGGAAGGCATTAATGGGCTTCTTGAGCAATATTTCAAACACAGGAGGGGAGTCTGGATGTCAAATAACTGAGAGACAGGTGGTAGCAGAAGAGGTGGAGAAGCATGGGAGAGAGAGGGAGAGAGAGAAACACATTTCTTGGGAGCAAAGATAGGGCTCACTGAACAGAGGTTGGACTAAATAAATCACACTCTAAAATGTAATCGTCTCATCATAATTGTAAGTGAAGGATCAACCTGCTGTACTGACTGGCGACGACAGGAGGCAAATTTATTCTTTTAGCTCTCGCGGGCTGGAGTGAAGGGTCCTCTGGCAAGAGGGGAGGGGTATCAAGACTGAGCTAAGAGAAGCCCTTACTGTGGTTCTGCTGTGCCCCTTGCTGAGTTAACATATGTTCTCTTTGTGTCACTGACTAAACCTACCTGACTGAGCATGTGTGGACCTGAGCCATCCCGAGGAAAACTCCCAAGCATGTCAAACGAAGCAAGTCAGAAGCAGTTGTTCTCCAGCTCAGTGTGCCTGTTACAAGCCCTCGGGCAGGATCTACATCCAGGTGACTTCCCTTCTGCACTTGATGTGCATTTCTTAATGGAAGCAAGCCTGCCACCTGCGGGCAGGAAGGAAACAAAGCCAGGCTGTCTCTACTGCATGTACTGCACGGACTGTTTTACCTCTCTGTTCCTTAGAAGAACAATAAGGCATCGGATGAAGTGGGTTTTACCCATGAAAGCTCATGATACGATATATTTTTGTTAGTCTCTAAGGTGTCACAGAACTTCTCCTTGTTTTTAAAGTTACAGACTAACACGGCTACCCCGATAAGACTAGTGACGATGAATAAATATAGCAACAAGAGAGATTTGAAAGGGATGATGTGGCGGGGAGCAAGATGCCTGTGATGGTGACATTTTGCACAGGCTGGAGAGTACAGCATGTCATTCCTCAGTAAACGGGATCTTGTCTCTTTAAGAAGTGAGTGTTTTCAGTTTCCCAGGCTCTTCCTATTGCAGAGCCAACTCACAAAGTGAGTCATTTCTGAAAGATCCTGGAGACAAAACAGACACAAACCATAACAAAATACAACAGCAACGGGAAGAGAGAAATTCCTCTCCTCCCTCTCCCCCCGCTCCACACACTGTACACCAGCAATCTGAACATACCAAAACCTTCCCAGAGGAGGAGAGACAAGAAATAGATAAACAACTATTTGGCTCACGTTTTGAGTCTCTTTGGGGCAAGAAGATTGTTACCTATCATGAGAGTTTGCTAGCTTTTTATTTGTAAACATCAAAGTCTCTGGATTTTCCCCTGCGGCTTTGTTTTTTCCTCAGCAAGTCAGCTGGATATTTGGAAGTCCCGCTTATTTGCGACAATACTTCCACCCTCTTCCCTTCTCCTTCCCCTCCCCTCCATGGGCCGCCTGCAACCTCACTTTAATATCCCATATTTAAAAGCCTGCCTCTCAACCACCATCTCTAGCCAAGACTTCAGTGCCCAGACTCAAAACCCTAATTAAAGAAGGTTTCCTGTGCCAAATGCTGAATCACCACAGATCAGTCCACAACAGAGTATATCTTCCTGTCTTTGTGTTAAATGTCCCCCATTTTATCCCATGAATTTCTATACTCATGATAGCAACTTTGATGCTTCCAACATTGAGGATAACAGAGGCATTTTATACATAAGGGGGACATAGCATATATCTAAGTTATCTAGCCTCATAGGAATAAGAGTCAGTTTTCAGTCATATGTTCAAGTATGAGATCCCTAATCTACCTTCATAGAGCGATGTCAGTTATACACACACAGAGAGAAAGGTACGGGGTCAATCATTCTACTCTCCTGGGGGTGGAAAGGTTGCCCCAGCACAGCTTATGGGCAGATGTAACCCTTGCATCTTTGGAACCAGATATCAGGATGATTTGTCCCTTCAAGCACTGCTGAACATTTGCTCTCAAAGGCGGATGCACTAAACAGCGGCTATGTGGAAGCAGGAGTAAAGTAAAATCTCAGCAGACTCTGGGCATATGCACCTTGTGGGACACAGGACTGGATGAACAAAACAAGAATGGCTAGTGACTTCCCTCTGAAGAACTCCATTGGATATTTTTGGGCCCCACCTGTCCCCATCCAGGAGAGAGAATTAATGCAGAAGGGAAAAAGGAAGGAAATAAAGCTGGTTCTAAATCTCAGAAAAGAACAATTTGTATTCTCTGCAAAATCACTATGATTAAAGAGAGCTAAAAAGGGAAATTACATTTCAGGAGTAAAAATATGGTATAATAGTCTGTAAAAATTGTATGTTATATTGTGTTTGCTAAGCTAAAGAGTTTCCACAAGACATCACTTCATGACTTAACTATTATTAACTATCAACTATGGAAAGGCAGAAGAGCCACACTGAAAATAAATCTCAGCTCCATCTTTGAATGTGTAGAGTGCTCATCTGCAGTGCTATTGCTGGTGTACCTCATACTCTAACTCCGCACTGTAGAGCAGTGGTGTGCAACCTGTGGGTCATGACCCCCATGGTGGTCACGGATGTATTTCCGGGGGATTGCGGCACTTAGAATCAGCTGGCCAGGGGCTGGGCCCGGCAGTTGGTGTCCCCCGCGATGCTGGGGTCGCAGATCAAAAAAAGGTTGCACACCATTGCTGTAGAGGATTGGCCCTGACTTCCAGAACACCTGGCAGAAAACTCCAGATCCATATGGCAATTTATTCACTAGAGAAAAGAGACTACTAAGCCCCCCGCCCAATAAAAAATCCCAAGTTACATAATGTAATAATGTAAAT